AAAAAATCTTTTTAATCGTTCTACTAATACCCTAATCGTGTCCATGACGTTTGCATCAAATTTATAAATTCAATCAAAGTCACATTAACTTCAATCACATTCATAATTACTACTTAATTATAATCATTTTTATTGTTCTACTAATACGGTAATCATGTCCTCGCATCAAATTTTTAAATTCGGTCACAGTTATGTTAATTTTAATCATATTCATAATTAATACTTATTATTATCTTTCTATATATTGTATGGGACTCACTACTATTCATCTTAATATTTTTCTTTTAACCATTTCTCCTATGTTTGGAAGAATTTATAAATGTTTTAATTTATAAATATCTAGAAATGATTAATGAGTGATAGATAAATGCATTATAGAGATTTAGTTTTATATTATTGGAAACTAAGGGATTAAAGGTGATATTGAAAGAAGATCGGGGACTTGGCTTGCAACTTTACAATAGTTATCCATTAACTTTAACCCTATCCACTTACTTTCTCATTTCTTTGGGGAAAAAACAGAGAGCAGAGAACGAAACCATAGAGGAAGAAAAAGAAGAAAGGAAAATAGGAGGGAAAAAAGGGAAGATGTAGGTTCCAATTTTACAAGGTTAGATTCTCAATTTCTTTATTCTTCCTTTAATTTAGGAAGGCAAGTATAAGAATGTGAAATTATTTCTTTTAGGGTTTATAGATTTTTTATTAATTCGAAGTTAGCAAGAATGAGGAGTTATTGATTTTTATTTGAGGTTTTAAATAAAAATACAGCAAAGAAATGTTTATTTGGAAATTGGAGTGTAAGGAAGTGGAACTTTGAAATGTGTTTGAAAAATTAAGACATATTCTTTGATTTTCTTGTGAGTATATGATGCTAAATACTTAAATTAAGGATTTGAGATTAGAATTTCCCCTTTTTTTTATAGCAATTTTTGGACAAAATCATACACAGATGCTATTTTTGAAATGATTCCCAGAAAGTGCTATTTCTGTCAATGGTTTAGGTGATAATTTTTAATATACAGAAACAGGTGCTAAACTTCAATACTCTGGAATTTTAGTGCTTTTTTTTTTGTCAAATCTTTGTTTCTCACATTTTAAAAATTTGAATGAAACTAAATGATAAATATGGAAGTTTAGGAATTGGATTAAATTATGTACGGGAGGTGTGTATGTATAAGGTAGTGATTTTAAGTTGGTAAATAATTAAAGAGAAGTGAAAATGCAACTTTACAATAGTTATCCATTAACTTTAACCCTATCCACTTACTTTCTCATTTCTTTGGGGAAAAAACAGAGAGCAGAGAACGAAACCATAGAGGAAGAAAAAGAAGAAAGGAAAATAGGAGGGAAAAAAGGGAAGATGTAGGTTCCAATTTTACAAGGTTAGATTCTCAATTTCTTTAATTCTTCCTTTAATTTAGGAAGGCAAGTATAAGAATGTGAAATTATTTCTTTTAGGGTTTATAGATTTTTTTTTAATTCGAAGTTAGCAAGAATGAGGAGTTATTGATGTTTATTTGAGGTTTTAAATAAAAATATAGCAAAGAAATGTTTATTTGGAAATTGGAGTGTAAGGAAGTGGAACTTTGAAATGTGTTTGAAAAATTAAGCCACTGTTTGCCCCCCATTAAATTAAATAGGTCTGACCGTTACATTACAATACCGGTTTTGCCCTCAACTCAATTTGACTGTTGCAAAATTGAAGGGCATTCTTGGGATTTACACATTAATGGCACCAGCTTTTTACACAAAAACGTGTTGGAAAGAGCCATGTCAGGTGAGTATGACATGTTCAAGGACACTGGATCCCACACACAAATGTTCAAGGGGAATGAAATTATGAAAGGCAGATAAAAATGTTCAATGCTTCTCCTTCTTCTTTTGCATTTCTTTCGTTACATTTCTGCTAAGCCCCTGTTTGGCCCCCATTATTGTTGATTTTTGGGGGGTTGAAAATTTTTAAAATAGTGATTGATGGGAGATGTGTGGTTGAAAAATTTTAGATTTGTGTGTATTATTATTTTATTTGATGAATGTATGGTTGAGATGAAGATAGAGAAAAAATTAATGTAATGGAATGTAATATAATGGGGGCCAAACAGGGGCTAAGACATATTCTTTGATTTTCTTGTGAGTATATGATGCTAAATACTTAAATTAAGGATTTGAGATTAGAATTTCCCCTTTTTTTATAGCAGTTTTTGGACAAAATCATATACATATGCTATTTTTGAAATGATTCCCAGAAAGTGCTATTTCTGTCAATGGTTTAGGTGATAATTTTTAATATACAGAAACAGGTGCTAAACTTCAATACTCCGGAATTTTAGTGCTTTTTTTGTCAAATCTTTGTTTCTCACATTTTAAAAATTTGAATGAAACTAAATGATAAATATGGAAGTTTAGATATTGGATTAAATTATGTACGGGATTTTAAGTTGGTAAATAATTAAAGAGAAGTGAAATGGTTATCATATTATTCTTATTAAAATTGTGAATTGAGTTTTGACTCGAATAAAATTATTATTATATCAGGATGTAGCAAAGAGATCGGGACAACTTATCAGCTAAACTAATCATCACGTAAATAGCTTGTGAGTGGAAAAACCTAAATATTTTTCAAGTATTGCTAAATTAATTATACTATTATATATTTTATGCAATTATGTGAATTATTCGTCGAATTACATAATTAATGTGGAAATATTCTTTCATTATGATATATGTGGAATTCCAAAGATTTTATATGGATTAATTGTAAATTGGAATGTGAGATATATGCGATAGTGAGATCGACCAGAAAAGTCCCCGTGATTATATACTTTTAGTTCGAAAAGGGGCCTTGGTCGTGTTCTAGAATTGATTATGATTGATTACTTTCGTTTACTAAGGGGGCTCGAAGTCCATGTCTGGAGTGCTTAGCCTAAGGGGCAGTCAATGCACGTATGACCAGATTACGAATTTCAGTCAGATTGTACATTTTTGGAAGATTTTTCGATACATTTGATGTAATGAGATGATGGTAACGGTATCAACGAGTTAAGCCGAGCCGAGCCACGAGCCGAAACTTGAAGCTCGAGCTCAGCTCGAATAATAGTTCGAACTTTTTTTGGCCAGAGACAAGTCGGGCAAAAGCTCGACCAAAAAACAAAATTTTGGCTCGGGCCTCAGCAAGTCGAGCTGACTCGTTTTTTTTAATTCGTGATAAATCTAAAATTGATATGAAACTCAAAATTTTATCGCATATTTATAGAAAAATGTATCCATTTCAACCAATTTTTTTCAAAAAATAGTAAAAAAATAAAAATAAAAATTCAACAACTAAATTTTATTATGTTTCTTTTTTTTTTTTTTAATTTTTTTCAAGTTTGCAAATTATTATTTTTTAAAAATTTTTTAGGTTCGCAATCACTGACGAAAATGGACTGTGTGGCTCGTCGATCCACACGGGTTGGCTCGAGCTGACACCCCTAAATTGGGACTTAGCCCGAGCCTCGGTTGGTTCCCAACGGCCAAGAGCCGGCCCGGCTCGGGCTTTTCCGGGGCGAGCCAGGGGTTGCCCGAGCTAGCATGCCATATTGTCATCTCTAGATGATGGTATAGATTTCAATTGATGATTATATCATGGTTATGAGAAGATATTTTTCAGTATTATGATGATATCTCAATTTTGATTATTATTATATGTTGTTATACTGTGAACTGTTAAATGATGTAAACTTGATTTTGATAAAAAATGTATAAATGAAAAAGTATAATTATTTTTGAACTTCTCCACTTACTGAGCTATGGATTCATATATTTTTCCACAAATTTCTTATTAAGTAGCAGTTGAATTTCTGGACATTTTTTGGAGTCAGAGTCACCGACAGAGTTAGCTAGTATGACTCATTTCATAGAGCATGCAGTCAGTATTTTGGGACACATGTTCCTTTTTGGATGTCATTCTTACATTACTTTTAGATGGTTAAATGGGCTCACTATGTATTTGCATTCCATAGTAAAAGTTTGAATATTTGGCTTGTCTCTATATCATGTTGTACTTCTGTGGTTATTGAAGGGAGTCATGAATTAGCATTGGTATGATAGTATTGTTGGAAGTGGTATATATTTGTTAACAGGTTGGTTAGTCCAAATTACAGATGTCGAATTTCTATTAAAAATAATTTATAAAAGTTGCATATTGTAGTAGCCTTGATGGTAGGTCCCACTTTTAGTTGGTATCTATCATCGACGCACGTCACATTCCTGGTCCACTAATGTTATTAGGAGCGGGGAGTGTAATTCATTATGATTATAATAGCCTAATATTTAAGCCAAGCAAAATGACATTGAGAGAGAACAAAACACTCAATTTTCTTCATCTCTAATTTCTGAATAGATTTAAGACCCCTAGTCTTGAATTAGCACCACTCTTCGACTGCAACATGATCTCCTAGATCGGCACAATACCTTTAAGTTTCCGTCTTTTGCCAATTTGCCAATCTTCTATGTGACCATCAGGAAGTCAAAGTTGCCTTTGTTCGAAACAATCTGTATTTTTATCATCTTCATGCAATGAAGTAGGTTGGGATAGGTTGGGATCTTATGAAACAATCGAGAAAGCAAACTCAATTTTTGTGAACAGATGATTTAAGTCGAACAACAGATTATCATGTACAGAACTATTGTGTCTAAAGCTCAATAGCTCAGGGAACATTGTCGCGTAAGAACTTTTTCTATAAAGCATATATTAAATTAAGAGCAAAGAAAGAATAAAGGCAAACATTCAAGATCTGCTTAGTACAACTAAAGAGAAACCTTGTATAGTATTGCTGCTCACCCTAAGATAAACTCAGTAGGAGGTGGCCGAATCTTTATTTTCTAATATTCATTCATTGTATAGGCCATCATATAAATTCACACACTATAATAATTCAGGATTCTAGGTTCTTTGTCGTCCCTGAAGTTAATAGAAATTTGAGTTCCCATACATTATTGCCAGCTTCAAACACTTGAAATCAATTCCCATTCTTGAGATCATGACCTGAAATGACATGTACGCAGTTAAACAATTGGATAATCAAATATAGTTTTTTCTTAGTAGTTCACATCACAGTCACACAACAAAAGTATCAGTAATGCATTTTAAAGAAATGTAGAATCTTCTTTTTTAACGACATAATCCAAGGTCAGTTCCTAATACCTTACTTGATGAGTCTTTCTATACTAAGCCTCCGTTTGGATACAATTTATAAACAATTATGCTAGATGTACAAAAGATTGTGCATCTAGCCTTACATTTCTTCCATGTGGCATAATCTAGGCAGAAAAGAGAATGATTGTTGGGGAAATCAAAAGGGATGATGGTGCCATGTGGTAGAGTATAAGGGAAGATGTGTACAAGAGTGTACATGTAGCATGGTTGATTCATAAATTGGTTTATAAATTAAAATTCAAAATCAAATATTAATTGCAACTTGACATTTATCATAAATTTGTGAAACGGGGGCTAAAATATGCAATACTTAGTTAAAACATATAATACTTAGGGAGTAACTTACGATATGAGAGAATAGCAAACGTAGCCTGTATGATGGCGAGAATAAGCAAGGCAGTGGCAGCAAAGACTGAAATGAGTGCCCATGGACTGTTGAAATATTTTCGCCTTAATATTCCCATCCATCTATTCCTTCTGTGACGACAATGTTCGTTCACACGGTTGAAAATTTTAAAATACGAAAACTCTTCAGAAATTATGCTATTCTTGCCTAGCTGGTTGATTAAATTATAAACCATTTCATCGCTTCCCAAAAAGTTGCTAATGATTCCATTTCGGCGCAACAATTTTGCATCTTCAGGAGAATGGACAAGACAATGCATGAAGAATACATAGTCTGTCACATATTTTTGAGGAATGGTAATGCCTGTGAGATAGTACTCATATGCAATCAGATTTCGGAACAATGATTCCGTTGAATCAGAAATTTCCCATTCTGGAATGATCATTGCTTTATTTTTGAATTCAATACCAAAAAAACTATTACCTTCAGACTTTTTGAACGAAATCCCTGCCTCTTTGAGCTCTAAAGCTGAATTTATATTTACCATTTGATCTGGATTTCTAGAACCCATCTGAGATAATATCATTGCAAAGGAAGAACACTGGATGCCATGTACAATACCAAGAAGATGGTGACCATTAATGGGACCTTCAGGAGGAGCTTGCACTGGGAAAATGCCATTTTGCAGTAAAGGCCATATTAGAGAATTGATGTCGTATCCATTATTGATCTTGATCAAACTATCAATGATGAAAAATGGAATCTGATTCTCAAATACCATTAGATCGTGGAACAAATGACTTTGTATATGTCCATACTGGAAAATGGGGTCATCCACTTCCCTATGTTCTCTGTGTTGAAACATATAGAGAAATTCGATGATAAAACAACCATCAAGAATCAACATTTCCATGAACTCATCTTCATCAAGTTGGATGTCTTCAGCATAACATTTCCGCGCTGTGTCTTTTAACTCTCTTATTGTGTTAACATATCTTTGTACACTTGACCCTTCTCTTCTTTCAAGAAACAGCTTTAGATACCTGACTTTGTGTTGCTCCATGTTCTGCAAGTTAGGCTTACTGCGGTGAAATGGGCCAATGGCTATTATTTGTGGATCATAAGCCTCTGGATTTATGCTGCGTAAATGGTCACCGACTCTAAACATTGAGGGCTTTGAAGGTGTAGAAGACAAGTTCTTAAGCATATTATCAATGTTAACAGTGACACTGTCAGCTCTTGTCCGACACATTTTTAACTTTGTGTGGAAATTCAGAAACATGATTTACCAACGAGTTAATCTAACCAATTCTATACAACCTTTTAGGAAAACTTAATTATGGATCGAAAATTCCAAAATTTCTGGCTGACTCACATAATCTTTTTCTGAGGATTTCTTGATTAATCGAAATTGAAGGCCTTGTCGGATGTTGACTCTCGCCATGAATCTTCTTTTCTCCACACCCCAAATCATATATTTCTCTGCCAAGGCTGATGACTTTCGATGTGATTTCTCAGATGGCTGCTGTTGAGAGTTTTTTATGGGAAAAAACAAGGGGACGTGCACTGAATGAGAGAATGATCTGATATGGGATTAGAATGCCTCATGTTTGCCGGCCAATGATATCTCTGAGATTGAGCAGCTACTGGTTCATCTGGTGTCCAAAGGAATTAGATAAGAGCAAATGGAGGGAGGAGAATGACAACTTTTACTAGTAAACGGGTCAACTTGTTGACCAAATAATTATTGCGCAGCCTGTTGCTTTCAATGCATTTGTTCTTTCTTGACACTTCCATTGTTTACTACAAGTTTTTCTTCCAACAGTTTCAGAACGTGGGTCCACGCTAATTATTTCAAATTTTTGTCAGAAATGTGAAAGATTGTTGTACAAATCAATGGAGATGATGGATGTATGTGTTAAAATGTCAAATTTAATGTCACGTAAAATGTACATATAGCATGATTCTATTCGCTTTGACATGGCAAACGTAGGTGACCTCAACATATGTGGCAATATCTTCTAGAAAAATTTGCACTTTTTGTCCTCAAAATTTGCAAATTGTTGGTAATTTAACTCAGAGCATGTTTAGTTAAACTTAAAATCCAATTAAAATTGAAAATATAGCCGTTATTGGGACTTACTTGTCTAATAAAAGTCAACAACAATGACTAATTTTTCAATTTTAATTCAATTTTAATCTTTACCGAACACGTCCTCAATCTATTTTTAGCATTAGGCATCTTCAAATTTTCAAAAATGTAAAAAGGTTTGTGCTTTCGTCAATTTTGATGTAAAATGACGAATTTGCCCCATATAAATAAATTTGGGTTGCATTTTAAGACTTTATCATCCAGATTTCAGACCAAATTATCAGATCCCTCTTCTTGATCTTGAATTTCTATTATGGACTGCTCTACAAAATCTTTGAACTAGAGCTCGTAAGAGGACTCAAAAAAATTATTGACCATCTCCATAAATTCGGACTGTCCTCTAGCAATTGTTAGAACTTTATTAAAACTTGAACTTTATGAACAAAATTTGCAAATTGTTGGTAATTCAACTCAGAGCATGTTTAGTTAAACTTAAAATCCAATTAAAATTGAAAATATAGTCGTTATTGGGACTCACTTGTCTAATAAAATTCAACAACAACGACTAATTTTTCAATTTTAATCTCTACCGAACATGTCCTCAATCTATTTTTAGCATTAGGCATCTTCAAATTTTCAAAAATGTAGAAAGGTTTGTGTTTCGTCAATTTTGATGTAAAATGACGAATTTGCCCCATTTAAATAAATTTGGGTTGCATTTTAATACTTTATCATCAAGATTTCAGACCAAATTCTCAGATCCCTCTTCTTGATCTTGAATTTCTATTATGGACTGCTCTACAAAATCTTTGAACTAGTGTTCGTAAGAGGACTCAAACAAATTCTTGACCATCTCCATAAATTCGGACTGTCCTCTAGCAATATCCTGTACTATACTCCGTTGTGGTGAAGTGGTTGGACTTTTTCGTTGGGACATTTTTAAATAAAGGTGGTGAACAAATACCAGAATCATCGTCTTCCTTTTCCATGATTTGATGAGTTCCGAACTGAACTCTCTGATCACCACTCCAATTCCTATGATTCTCTCATAATGTTCAGCTGTTTTTCTAACCTTAGCATCAAAATTTACAATCCTCCTATGCCCAAAACTCTCTCCTGTATAGCTAAGTGCTTTAGGAAATTCAGTTCTTGAATCATGCATGGTTTCAAAGTGAAAGTCTCGTGCCGTTTTAATTGAACAATGACCATATAGAATATCCGAGAGAGAGAGTGGAGGTGGTGCTCGAATGGAGATTCTTTTAACTGAATGATGGCCTTATTAAACGTAAAAGGAAATTATGAGGAGGTTGAGTTGGAGTGAATAAAATGATTAGTTCGGGTGGCATTGTCATCAATGTGTCTTGGTCCATTGACACTAGCGCTAATGACAACAAATTTTTAAATAGTGTGGATAATCGTTTGCTTGCAAAAAATTCGAGGATTTGTAAGGGTACGAGTGGCAATCTTTCTCCCAATTTTCTTGTTTTTGTCTCATTTTGAACCATTAGGATGAAGTCACGTATCAAACATCAAAGTGGGATCTCTTTTGCCTTCTCCACATATAAATATTCAATCCTCTCCTTTGGAGCTGGAAACCCTTGGTAACACTTGTAAGTGTAATTCTGGAAACCCTTGGTAACACTTGTAAGTGTAATCTAAAACTCAACACCCATATAAATAGTGTCTGGCTTGAGCATCGGAGAAGTGATCGTAGGCCCCGATGTCCAAGTGTGCATATAACATATACATAGATTGGAGAGGAACTGAAATCTATTAAGAGCTAGATTTCGTGGATCTGAAGGTCAACAATTGCTTGCCAAATGTGCCAACGGTTTCAACTTTTGGGTTCGAGTTATCCAATTACACAAAGCAACTAGATTTCTACCATAATAACATGTTTGTAAGGCCCAGACCACACACAATATGAGAATCAAGATGTAAAAATAACCAAAACGAAATAAACATAAATTGCAAAAAATAAAATGAACACAAGAATTGTTTCAACCGTAACCCCGGAGGTTTGGAAAGCGCTTCTCACACCTACATCCTCCATTGAGCATCCAAGAAAAGGATCATGCTCAGGTGCACTATAACAGCCACAAAATTGCAACGAAGATTACAAATGTTAGAGAGAAGAGATATGCGACTTATCTTCTCAAGGTACAACAATAGATCTACCCGGATTCACCAAGAAATCACTAAGTAACCCTTCAAAACAAACACTAAGTAACACAACAGAGAAATCACTTGGATCCTCACAATATTCACATGGAATATTATAATCAAAGGTTAATCTATATCTCACAACACTTTAAATCAGAGATTTAAAGTAATACAGACAAGAATCATCAAACCCTAGCCTCTTCTCTCTTTTCTTCTCAACTCACATAAACCCCCGAAGTCTCCAAAAGCGACAATGAATCGAATGGGAGTACAAAAAGCATTCAGCCCAAGTATATAGGTCATCCTCCATCCAACGGCCATAAGTGAACCACGTGTCAAACATCAGATAAAGGACGCTTCAAATAAAAGAAGCGTGTTTTGTAAACACGTTTATAGCCAAAAGCTAGGAGCAACCAAGTGAACCGGGTTCAAATCCAACAAAGTTTGATGTTTGAAACAGAGTTTTGAACTAATTTAGCATGAATAGAGAATAAAAAGTAAGGAATGGCATAATCTGAAACAAACATAGAAAATCCACTTACCTCCGATCCTACGAATCTACTAAGAAGCAAATACTGTCACCTATCAGGTTTCACAAGATAAACAACTCATCATAGCCTAATATTTAAGCCAAGCAAAATGACATTGAGAGATAACAAACCACTCCATTTTCTTTGTCACCTCTAATTTCCAAATAGATTCAAGACCCCATCTTAAATTAGCTTCACTCTTCATCTGCAACATGATCTCCAAGATCGGAACAATAACCTTTAGTCTTGGTTGTCTATGTCAATATCAAGAAGTCAAGGTTACCTCTGTTTGCCAACATTCTCAATTCTCAATTGCTACTTGCACTAATCTTAAAAATCATTATTTTTTTTCAAATGTTGCAGACTTTTATCACTCACATGACGTTGTCTTTAATGTCAGACTTCAGATTTATCATTTTGTCATAATGCAGCAGCAAGTGAATCATATACCAAGGATGTAGCCTTTCACACAAATATCCTTTGTCCAATAGTGTTACTGATTTCTGCAAAACTATTTAGAATTTTAATAATTCTATTTTTAAAAATTATTTTAAAACCATCATCATCTAGAATCCCTAGAAAAATGAGGTTTGTTCTTAAAGCCGGTATATATCTATTTTTTTAAAAAATCAGATTTTGTTAGATCCCCATATTCCCCATATTTAAATTTTGCAACTCATAGTTACTTGACCATCCTTCTAAGAATTCAGAAAGTCATTTTTTACTAGGAGACATACGAAATATATGCTCTGAGTTAAGAATTCACTCTTCTTTATTTGTCAAATAGTTGTAAGCCCAAGATTGACTAACCAAGAGTGGAGTGAATTAGTTTTTAAAACTTTTTCGTTAACTATTACAAGATTTTAAACTAACGATAACACAAATGATAGAGAAATAAACTAAACCAAAATAACCATGTAGATGGAATGATATAAACTTGCAAAAAGTAAAACGTTAAGTAACGAGTTAGAGAGTGCAAACGATATGTTTTGAAGGTTCGATGTAACGCAATGATCTACATCCCCCGTTACCAAACTCTCCGTCATGAGCAACGCCTTTTTCACTATGTTGATTGACTTGTGGTGCAATCCAATCCTTTACAAAGCTTCCGGTGACTTACGACCAAGGAGAGCACCGATCCTTTTACAATGTTGAGCTTTTCGGGATCTCAACACGACCCACAATTTCAAGATGATTTTACAAGTGAAATCTTCTCTTCTTATTAAATGATAGAATCAAGATTGATAATAAGAAGAGAAGAGGCAAATACTTTAATAGATGGCAATGAGTATAAGATAACAAGAATAGAAGAGGTAAATATTTCAATAGATAGCAATGTGTATAGCTCAAAGTGTTGATATGAAAAACTTTTTGAAGAACTAAAGATTTTTATAAAGTTAATCACTCAAAATTTTTTCAAGAGTTTAGTGCTTTTGATCTTCCTAAAGATGGAGAATATGGTAGTTA